AAGCATTATGAAAGAAATTGCAAATATAAAAGATACAAGGATGGTCTTAAAAAGAATTTGTACAGAATACTTAGAAATGATAAAGGGATGGTTAAGAAAGATATGTCGGGTGTATATAAGATCCCATACGAGAATCAGATTATTAGGAATAAATAAAGAATATGTTGGGGTTCCTACTAGAAACCTAGGTGTAAGGATAAAAGAGCACAGATATGATATTAAAAAAGGTTCTAATGTCCACAGTATTGGCTCAAATGGCACAAACGGAAGGTTCAATAGTATGATGGGATGAAGCAGAAATCCTGAAACAGATACTCTCTGACTTTGGCAAGAATGGCTGAAAAGTTAGAAATTTATAGAAGCGTTGATGCAATTTCCTTTAAGTTTGCAAGGGATGCAGAGGGACTTCCTTCCGCCTGGAAGTTTGCGATTAAAAACTTAAAATAAGAGCAGGAACTTTAATAATAATTGTAGTAAAAACTCTGTATAGTTAATACTAAATATTAATATTGCTTACTTAACAGTTTGTCTATTAAGTTAGAGGCATTAATATTTAGTATTCACAATTTGTTTGTTATTTTTTATTATTTTATTTTTAGTATTAGCAGCATTTGTATTAATTTTATTATTTACAAACATTATTTGGCTATTAATAGCGTATATGTTATCGGTTATTAATCGGTTATATTTTGTATTTTGAACTTGCTCTATTTTTGAAGTGTTCCATTTAGCATGATGATGATCCATTGATTGGATTGAAAACGTTTGTTTTAATAATAAATCTCTCAGCGAGTGATTAGTGTTGATTAAGTTAGTGTACAAAACTTTTTATTTGATTGTATAATGTCAAAATATAAAATCAAAAGGAAATGCCTGTAGTCAGTGGATTTTCACTTCCCTTTTAACAATTATATGTATTATAAACAGTACTAAGATGATTTAATGACTTTTAAAAATTTATTTACAATTATTAATGACGCCATTGCGTATGGAATAAGTAGGCCTACATATATAACAGGTAGTAGTTATATACTGATAATGTTTTGTATTCTTGTAACTGTGAAAGATGTAAAAAGATTACAACTTTTTCTCTTCAGTTGGAATTTCTTTGTTGTTTAGTTTTTTTTAATGAAACATTTTGTTATTAAATAACAAAATTATAATGGTTATATTGTTAAATAAACATATAACTTGTGCTTTTTATTTTAGAACACACTTTTTTTCTTTNAAAATAGAAATTTATTCAGTAATATATTGTTTATTAAAAGTTTTTCTTGGAAAAATGTACATATGTATTTTAGAAGTTGCTTTTTAGAACAGTTTTTCTTGCATGTTATATTTGTTCTGTCAATTTATTTTAGCAGTTTGTGTTTTTAATAAAGTTAATATATTTAAACTAAAATAAATTATTCTTAATAATAAAATTTTGGCTAGCTGTTTAATTTATTTATTCATTGTAAATTTAACACTCTTAAAATGAGATGTGAACAACTAGAACCTGTTTAAGCTATTGATAATTTATTAATATGAATGAAAAATTACATAGTGATAGAAATAGAAAGATCAATGCTTAATTAAGGATGCAAGAATACACTAGGGTTTGTTAGAAGTCTACATAAGATAAAGGTGTCCCACTGCTTGGGGAGGTATTGGATATTGTATGCAAAAAAACTATCTTTACTGCTCCTTTAATTGAAATTACTAGAATGGAATTGTGCTTGTGTAAATACAATTATGGTGCACAAATAAAGATTATCTATAAAATAAAGTAACATGTAACAAAAATAACATAAAAATATAACGTAAAATATATCTAATAATGAAAAACATGGCCCCAAAAAGAATAACGCCGGATGTGTGTGTGTATTATTAATGCCTTTTTACTGTAAAAGCATTTCCATGCCGATGATAAGGTATCTGCATCCCTGTGATTAATGCATTCTGTTCTCATCTGCGCTTTATATATCTCCAGCTTCTCAAAATGGCCGACCATATGTCTGTTGGTCATTGTTCTGATAATAGAAGCTTGATCCCACAATATGTTAATTTCTTGCCGTTTGGCGAACGATGCTAAAATCGTACTGTCTGTGTCTCTACTAACAGAATATTTGTGCTCCTTTATCCTTTGATTTAAATTCCGCATAGTAGCTTCTACATAAACCAAATCCGATCCAAAACAATAGTTCTTTAAAGGTATGGAGTAAACTCCCATCAATGAGTTCCTTTCTTTTCTTTTTATTATTCCTTAATAATTTGTAAATTGTTGGATTTCTTCAATAAATGATACAAAGATTACTACTACTAACAATTTTTTTTATGTATTTTATTTAAGAATTTGACACCTATGACTCCATCGTAATAGTTAGCATAGGCCTAAACATTCATTAAAAAAATATTTTAAAAATTACTGAATGTCTATCATGTTGTCATGTACTATTCATATAATGGCTCAAATTTAACCTTATAATTTAATTTACAGAACAAATAGTTTTTTTAATATCAAACTGATTTTCAAGGTCGGTCAAGATCACCAAAAATTGTCCATCTGCTCTATAAACTTGACTGTGAGTCCAATCTTCTTATCTCCAGTGGTTTTTTTTTTTTTTTTTTGAAACCATTAAACACCACCAGTGAATTACCCTGCATGTCATGTAAACTAAAGTAATTTGTCCATGTATATTGTTTGAATTGGTATTAAATACTTCATATAAAATTAATTCAATCATTATTATAAAGTCAAATAAGGGCATAGTTTTATTAGTCAGAAGACAATTTTTAAATAATTTTTTATTAATAAAATTCTCATTTATATGATCCCTTCAAATCTTCATAAGCTAAAAATGTTACCACATTTAGTGTTTCAGTTTTGCATATTTTTGGGATTTAATACATTGATAACTCAATCCCTAAATGAATTTTCATCTCAAATAACATTTTGAAGAAACATTATATTGTATTTTGTGTTGGGGTGGTCAGGATAATTAATAAATTGATTTTTATTGCCATAGTGAGGATACCACATTTTATAGTTTTGGTGCCTTAGCAGCTTTTTCTGGACTTGGAGATTGGAATAGCTAGTAAAATGATATGATGTCAGTTTTTTAAGTATAAATTCTGTAGTTTAGATACGGTATTTCTGTGCAGCTACAAACTTGGATGGAAACAAGTACAAAAGAAAGTACTTGATGCTCAATAGATGTGATATTGTCAAAAATGTTTGTTTCAAACTTAGAAACTGCAGTGAAGAAGACACACTAAACCCTGAACAGGAAACAAATATTCTTGATTACTTTCAAAAGACAAGTTAACAGTTTGTGTAAAACATGTCTAGATGTGCTGATTTGTTTATATTTTATGAAATGAAAGCCTTTTTGAAATTTCATGAAATGCTTTATCCATTCTGAATACACATACACATGTATTTGTATGTTCTAGCATGTTTTTACATATGTTTGGATTTTGCATATTCACTGATTTTGTGTATTTTTTCACCAGTTACTTAAAAACAGTTCTATGAGGGCTATTTTTTAAATGTCTGTCTGTGAATGAGAACAGCAGATTTCTTTGAAGTTGGAAATAAAATTGTTGAGTGGTATGACAAATGTTTGAACAAAAATGGAAATTATGTAGAAAAATAGATGAAAGTATGTAGAATATAAGAAAAAATATATTTTAATGACATTTTACAGTATTATTTTTCTTATTAAAAAGTACCCTTCCTATATGGTTTAGTATAAAAGAATATTTTTCTTAAAAGTTAAATTTATTATTCACAAGTAATGACTTTTATTTTAGAAAAGTGGTTTAAATATTTTGAGGGATTGTACATTTTGTCTCCAGTTTATATTACTATCTTAAACCAAAGATCTACCTGCCAGTATTTATTGTTTATAGTGGTTTTATAATAACTTATTATTAATTTTTTAATTATTAAATGAGAAAAACCTAATATATGAAGATTTGTTAAATTGAAATGATGCAAAATATTTTATGAATATTTATTTAAAATTTTTTAGAGATGTTATTAGTGATGATATGGGTAGGAAAGCCAAACTGAAAATCCCACCTCAAGATAAAAGAAAGAAAACAACAGTAAGTATTTTAAATTTTTCTTAAAGAATTTTATACACTTATTACATATTATGTAATGAAAATTGTTTTGTTTTTCTTAATTAAAAATATATTTTAGCATTAATTTCTCCTAATAATGATAAATGCTTCTTCAAAACTTCTAGAAGAAATATACTTATTCTTTCAATAAATAGTAGAAAAAAGTGTGTGGAAATTTTTCAAAAAGTAATTCCATTTTAATACAGAATTATCATGCCACTATAAATGTTGAGAGTTTAGTTTGAGTTTTTAAAATTATTCANGATTATTTCCAAAAAAAATATACGTATTTTGGAAATGTTGAGTCGGATTAGTCTAGAATCGATTAATTTTATGGAAGAAAACCTTTCAAACAGCCATAGTCCGTGAACTTGACACGTGTCGAGCTGTGATTGGAAGGACTCGTATGAAATCGGATTCCTAAAGAATGAAATGTATCTACTGTCTTATAGGGGGGATTGACTGTACTAACAAGTAGAGAAACAATCTCCAGGGCCGATTGCAGAGACCATGTTTAGATGCTGATGAATGTTTAGAGATCATTTAGATCACAGTTCAGAAAAATTAGATTGCAGAGACAGTGATTCTTGTTTGCCACAGTTTAGACAGCATTTGGAGACAAGTAATTTGATCTATTTTCTAGGCTCACTTGGCAGTGGGTTTAGATGGTGTTTTAATTCGAATGGAAGTTTTATTTGTGGANACGAAAAAATATACGTATTTTGGAAATGTTGAGTCGGATTAGTGTAGAATCGATTAATTTTATGGAAGAAAGCCTTTCAAACAGCCATAGTCCGTAAACTTGACACATGTTGGGCTGTGATTGGAAGGACTCGTATGAAATCGGATTCCTAAAGAATGAAATGTATCTACTGTCTTATAGGGGGGGTTGACTGTACTAACAAGTACAAACAATCTCCAGGGCCGATTGCAGAGACCATGTTTAGATGCTGATGAATGTTTAGAGATCATCTAGATCGCAGTTCAGAAAAATTAGATTGCAGAGACAGTGATTCTTGTTTGCCACAGTTTAGACAGCATTTGGAGACAAGTAATTTGATCTATTTTCTAGGCTCACTTGGCAGTGGGTTTAGATGGTGTTTTAATTCGAATGGAAGTTTTATTTGTGGNTAAACCTTCGTTATATCGTTGTCTGCATTGGACTCTATATATTAATAGGTCTTCTGTTGTTTCCATTTCAGCAAATAGAGATGATTTACTCTATTTGCTAAAATGAAAACAACAGTATAATAAGACCTATTAATATACAGTCCAATGTTGACAATGATATAATAAAGAATTTAATAAGGCTGTAGAGCAGTGTTTCCCAGCGTGGGGCCCATGCCCCACAGGGAGGCAATTTGAAAATGGACTAATCCAGAGTTTAAGTTAACAGTATAGCCGCTGTATATGTTAGGGGGGCATAAGAATTTTAGAAAGAATTAGGAGGGGCATAGCACAAAAAAGGTTGGAAAACACTGCTATAGAGTCAGAATTAATTCTTAAACCTCTTCATAGGAGAGGTTCTTAAACCTACTAATGTTCAATTGTAGAAACAAGTGTTTCTTGTACAAATGTTAATATTATATTAATAATAATGTGATAAATATTGTCTATTAATAAACAAGAATGTTAAAGGGATTATGCGTTTTTTTTTCTTTCTTTCTGAATGTGTTATTGTGTAGATCACAATATATTGTAGATTAATTAATGTTTTAATTCTTTGTATTTTAAATTGATATACAGTCCGTTTCAAAATTATAAACACACCCAACGTTTTTCAATAACAAAAAAAATTAACTATAGTAATGTATTTATTATATTAGTATGTTGTTTACAACATCAATTTAAACATTTTCTAAAATTTTTAGAGCAATCTGACAATTACAAGAACAATTACCAGAAATTTTCAATTTTTCAGTGTTTCAAAAGTATAAACACAGGTGAATAAAATTAGTATAATAATTTTTTTATTAATTATTAATTTAATTATTTGTCAACAGAGGGGAGTATCATTCATTGTTAAAAACATGATGCAAATTTTAAACAGTTTTTTGTGATTTAAAGCAATGCCTCATGGAAAAACACTAACAAAGTTGGAGATATGTGAAATATACCAACTAAAAGGATTAGGATGATCTCTAAGACAAATTTTGGCAGCTATGAATCAATCTACACATGCTGTGAGAAATGTGTTAACTCAGGGTGGAAATTATGGCAGAAATAAGCAATGCAAAAGGCCTAAACTCCTTACACCTAGAAATGAAAGAAAGGTTTTTCAGCTACTGACAGTCAACAAGTTGTCTGTCAGAGAAGCAGCATCAACATTGCCAATTGCAGTTTCACCAGCAACTGTATGGAGATGTATGCATAATCATAAAAATGCTAAATTTACCAAAATGACTGCTAAACTAAAATTAACACAATTGTACAAAACAGCTAGATTAAAGTGGGCCAAAGACAAGATGACATGGAAAGAGGAATGGAAACAAATAGTCTTTTCAGATGAAAAAAAGTGGAATTTGGATGGACCTGACAGTTATAGTCACTACTGGCATGATTTGAGGAAGAATGAAAAAGTCAGAATGAGCAGACTGCAAGGTGGGGGCTCTCTGATGGTGTGGGCAAGATTTGATGGGGAGGTAAAACAGATATTATATTTATAGAAGGTAGAATGAATTCAGAAAAGTATCAAGAACTGTTGTATCAAAATTTAATAACTTTTGGATCACTTATTGGGGGAGAAAACTGGCAATTCCAACAGGATAATGCTGCCATTCATACATCAAAGTCAACTAAAAATTGGTTTGCTGAAAAAAATTAATGTAATTGATTGGCCATCATGGAGCCCTGATATGAACCAGATAGAAAATGTTTGGGGCATTATGAGCCATCTTGTTTATGGCCAAAACAGACAATACAATACTGTAAATGAATGGAAATTAGCTATTATGGATTGTTGGGAAAATATTAAACAAGAACAACTTCAAAAACTAGTAAAATGTATGCCTGATAGAGTATTTGAACTAATTAAATCAAATGGTAGCCCTACAAAATATTGAAACATCACAAATCAGTTTTTTGTGCACATGTGTTTATACTTTTGAAACAATCAAAAATTGAAAATCTGTGATAATTTTTTTGTAATTTTCAAATTGCTCTAAAAATTTCAGAAAATGTTTAAATTGATGTTGTAAACAATATTTTAATATAATAAATACATTACAATTATTAATGTTTTTGTTATTGAAAAAAGTTGGGTGTGTTTATAATTTTGAAACGGACTGTATTATAGTAGTGTTTGTTAATTTACTGATGATTTAAAACTTTGTATATCAGTAATTTAAAGTTTTGATTCATTAAATTTATTTATTAGCAGTAAAGAAATCGGACAGTCTAAACTCTATTTTGTATAGTAATTTTGTATGTGATGATGATTATTGTTTTGGTTTATGATATGCTTGTTACTATAATTAGTTTATCTTAACAATAATTTTATTTTATGGAACTGAATTTTAATCTCCCAACTTCCTTCTCCCACATGAAGTGTATAGTGGCATACGTTTTTGATAAATGGTGTTCTAATACTTGGAAGGAGTCTTCCGTATCCTGCCACGCCAAAAGAATATCATCTACGTATCTTAAATAAATTAAGGGGTAAGCTATGGTGAGAGGGAATTTAAAAACACTGTGTTCAATGCGCCGCATGGGCTCACCACTGTCAGCTGTATTGGCAGAACTCATCATGCGGCGCGTTGAACACAGCGTTTTTAAATTCCCTCTCACCATAGCTTACCCCTTAATTTATTTAAGTTACGTAGATGATATTCTTTTGGCGTGGCAGGATACGGAAGACTCCTTCCGGGTATTAGAACACCATTTATCAAAAACATATGCCACTATACACTTCATGTGGGAGAAGGAAGTTGGGAGAAAATTTGCTTTCTTGAATTTTAATAGAATCATGTAAAATTACTGTGCTTAAGTGCATTATGTATATTTTAGGTTTATAATCTGATCTAATAGAAGTTGTAGCTGAATACTTTAGTTTCTTTTGATAAATTGCAATGTTTAGATTAAGATGTTTTTATTACATAAAAACATATTAAATAAAATTTAATTATGTAAACAATATACCGTATTTACTCGCATATAAGACAAGGTTTTTATTCATTTTTCACTGCTTCAAAAACCTAGGTCGTATTATACGCACAAGCAAAGGATTCTGTGCATTATTTTCAATTTTTGTGAACCATGTTTTACCAGATGCTCACCCTCTGATGTTTAAAAACAAAACTATTTTATTTGGGTCATTTGAATCATTGTTTGTTGTCAGGAGTAAAAATGAAACACAGATGAAAAAGCAAAGCTTTTGAATTTAATTTCAAATTGAAATTCTAAAATCACACGGGAGCCCAGCTGATATAAGTTTTAATTCATTTCCATGTGGTAACAGTTAATTATTTGGAAATTGGAATTCAAAGAAACTCATAAGTGTAATAGACGAGAGTGGATTAGACTGTTAAGAATTGGCAAAAAAGGTTCCTGATTGTCCAGCTTTACATGAACAAATTATATAGATTTTTATGAGGTTTTTACTTAGTTTAAAATGCCGGTAATTTTTGCAGGACAATTTGTGCATTTGATATTTTATTTGTGATTAAACGAAAAAAAATGAAAATTGTATTAATAAATCTAATTTTCTTTATTTTGATCTTTACAGTCACACCTCATCCTACATGCAAGTAAATATGGTAATAAAATTAGTCAATAATTATATTAATGTAATGATTTGTATTTTTGCAGACACCCGTGGACATAAAAAAAATATTAGACGATGATCCAACTATTTTTGAATACGATCATATATATGATGATATAAAAAGGAAAAAAGAAGAAATCGTTAAGGATAGAAAAGTAGTTTTATTCCTTAATTATTTTATTATTATTATGTTGAGTTTAGTGGGTTATACTTAGTTCACACTAGTGGCTGTGTACTATGCAGACACCCGTGGACATAAAAAAAATACTAGAAGATGATCCAACTATTTTCGCATATGATAGTATTTATGATGATATAAAAAGGAAAAAAGAAGAAATCGTTAAGGATAGAAAAGTAGTTTTATTCCTTAATTATTTTATTATTATTATGTTGAGTTTAGTGGGTTATACTTAGTTCACACTAGTGGCTGTGTACTATGCCGGACCAGAGTCAAGGCATAGCAACAAAAACTAAAATTAAATAAGTGTCAGTGTCAGTATTCAGGAATTTCCTTACAATATTACATGTATTCAATATTGTGGCCTTCTGTAGTATGGTGTATGTATTTCTATTCAATTGTAATGCTCTCAGGCTTTTGTATAGTGTGTGTGGTATCACACCTGTACAGGAGAGAACGACAGGTACAATAAGCACCCTTTCCATCCTTCACAGGTGCCTTATTTCCTGTGCGAGTTCTGTGTACTTGCTAATTTTTTCAGTGCATGTGTTTTGTACATTGTGAGTGTTTGGAATGGATATGTCTATAATGTATGTGATTTGATTGTGTTTGTCAATGAGTTTGATGTCTGGTCTGTTGTAGTAAATTGTTTTATCTGTGATTATGGCTCTGTCATAGTACATTTAGTGCGTGTTGTTTTCCAATACTGTCTGTGGAATATACTTGTAGTATGGTTCGTGGATGTCTACCAATTTGTGTTTTTTTGCAAGCTCTTGTTGTATTATATTTGCTACTTGATTGTGTCTATGTAAGTAATCTGTCTGTGCCAAGAGCTTGCAACCAGATGTAATGTGTTGTATAGTTTCTGGCAGGATGTGACATTTTCTGCATGTGTCATTTGTGAGTGTTGTATCTATAAATAAAAACAACTCAAAGCCCGAATAGTATATAAATTACCAAACGATTGCCTAAATATCGGGCTATAATAATAATTTACTTAAGGGATGGCGCCTAACGCCTACCTCTAATGTCAAATTACTTTATTCCAATCATTTAATTAGTCATATTATAGCCCGATATTTAGGCGATCGTTTGGTAATTTATTATATAGTGTTGTATCTTTGAGTATGTGTTTTCTGTAGTTTATAGTGTTCGACCTGATCCTGTATGGCAATCATGAATCCTTCCGTCTCCGCAAAGAGGCATCCCTGATCTAACTAGCTGTTTGACGCAGTTTTGTCGTCAAAATCCTGGGCCAAGTCATAAGGATGCCTGCTGTGGAGTGCCTTTCTAGCCCACGTTTGCTTAATGGTGTCTATGCTTTTTATATGTTGTGTCAAGTCTGTATGATGTGAGTGTAAGTTTAATGATGTTACTTGAGTCTGCTAGAGTTACTGCTTTATGTAATTGTGATGTTTCTTGTTTCCTGTAGAAAAACATTCGCAGTGACTGTGTTTGTGGTGAAGGTTAACTATGTCAATCAGGCCACGTCCGCCATCTTTACATGGAAGGATTAATCTTTCTGTGGCGGATTTAGGATGATGATGTTTATGCTTAGTAAGTGTTCTTGTTTTTCTTTGGAGTTGCTCGAGATCTGTGTGAGTCCAATGTATAACTCCAAAAGAGTATGTGAGTACTGGGATGACATGTGTTTATTGCTTTAACTGTGTGTTTTGCATTTAATTGTGTTCTGAGGATAGCATTTAACCGACTTTGATATTCTTTAATTAATCTTTGCTTTATTTGTGTATGTTCTGTTAGTTTGGCCTGTTGGAATCCTAAATACTTGTAGAACTCGCCCTCTTCCATGGATTCAATAACGTCTCCATTTCCAAGTGCAAAATCTTCTTTCTTCAGGATTCCTTTTTCTATGTGAAGTGTTTTGCATTTGTCTAAGCCAAACTCCATTTGTATGTCCTTAGTGTATGAATGTGTGATTTGTAGGAGTTGATGAAGTTGTTTTTGTGTGGATGCATAAAGTTTTATGTCGTCCATGTACATGAGATGTGACAGTGTAAACTGTGTTGTTTTTTCATGTCTGATATTGTAGCCATATTGCGTGTTGTTTAACATGTTGGATAATGGATTCAGGGCTAGGCAGAACCAGAGAGGACTCAAGGAATCTCCTTGAAAAATTCCTCGCCTAATGAATATTTCGTTTGTTTGTATGGAAGTGTTACTAACCCTGAGATGTAGTGTTGTTCTCCAGTGCTGCATAGTGTTTTCGAAGAATGCAATGAGTGATGGATGTATTTTGTACATGTGTAGAATATGTAGCAGCCAACTGTGTGGAACACTGTCGAATGCTTTTCTGTAGTCTATATATGCCATGTGTATGTTTCTGTGTTGTTTGTGTGCTTGCCGTAGAATGACTGAATCTATGAGTAACTGTTCTTTGCATCCCCTGTGATTTCTACGGCAACCTTTTTGTTGTTCTGTAAGAATGTCGTGTTCTTCAACATGTTTGTATATTTTGTTTGTGATACAGGATGTCAATAATTTGTAGAGTGTTGGAAGACATGTAATTGGTCTGTATTGTGTGGGGTCTGTGGTGTTGTTGTTTTTAGGTTTCATGTAGGTGATGCCCTGAGTAAGAAATTTTGGCATGTCTTGTGGATTGATGATGATGTGTGTTAGATGTTTAGCTAGTTCCTGGTGCAGTGATGTAAACTTTTTGTACCAGAAATTGTGAATGTTGTCTACACCAGGTGTCTTCCAGTTGTGTGTTCTGTTAACAGCGTAGCGAATGTCGTGTATGTTTATTTCAGCACAGGGCATAGTTGGTATGTTGTGCAAGTTTCTGTTCTCCTCCTCGATCCAGCCTGCATCAGCATTGTGTGTAACAGCATTGGACCAAAGAGAAGACCAATAAGTTGTGAGTTCTTCTTCTGTTGGTGTGCCACTGTGCTGTGTATCAGTGTTTGTTTTGGTACTGATTTGTCTGTAGAAAAGTTTTTCATTGTTTGTGAATAATTTATTTTGTTGTTTTCGTAGTGTACATGTTTTGTATCGTTTGAGTCTACGTGCTTTGGCTGCGAGTTTTTGTTTTAGTGTATCGATGTATTCTGTAATGTGTGTGTTGTGATGTTCGTGTTTTGTGTGTGTTTTGATTTTCTTGAAAATGTTTTTGAGTTGTTTCTTTAATTTGGGTGTTATGTTGTTTTTAGTGTATTGTGTCAGCCTGCCTAATTGCTGTCTAATGTCATTTATTTGTGTTTCTATTCTTCTCTGCCAGGCAGGCTTGTGATAGGATTGTGTTTTGTGTGTGTCTGTCTGTGAGTGTATTTTCAGTCCATGGTGTGTTACTACTGTGACTGCCCCAGCATAAACTAATGTATGAATGTCTGAGAGTGTAGAAATTGAATGAATGTAGTTTGGTAGTAAGTGAGTGTTTACATAATTTAGTGTTTTCCCTACTACCTTTGACGTGTTGATTTTCGGTATTCGTGGTCTTTGTGTGGGATCTGTGCCTGTATATTTAGTGAGTGTTTCCTGAAATATAAGTGACAGCGTATTAACTAATTCTATGTCTACGTTATCATTGATGGATGAGGAAGTATCATTAGTTGTAGTTGTTGTATGTGTGCTATTATCAATGCTTGTTGCTGGATTATCCTGACAGGTTACATGATCTTCATTGATAATGTTAAATGTTTGTCTGTTGATGTATTTGATCAAATGTTGTCTGTTGTTTGATAAGTTCAAGTGTTGTTTTTGGGATAATGTTGTTGTGTATAATTGTTCTTTTTTGATCGACAACCCTTTGTTCGGTGACAGTGTGGTGAGGATATTGTTGTGTGAATCTATGGTGCAGTTGTTGTCTGTATGCTGTCATGTTTGTTTCGAGTTTTGTGATTGCATAGTAAGTACGGATGATAAACTCGTTCATTTCTGTTGTTTATTTCATCCGTTGGCGTGGTTTTCCAGCCTTTGTGGTCTGTGGATGCATTGCCACAGACAGAGGCAATGCATCCAAGAATTAAAATGCATGTTGCATTTTAATTCTTAGCTTTTCTTTGAACTGATACTGTTTCTAAAGGGATTGCTTATGTAAACTTTACACTTTGAAAAACTTTGTTAAAGTTATTGAATCAAAGAACAATTAGAAGTGCAGATTACACTTTCAACAGGGATTTTGTTAAATAAACAATTATGAATGTTTCTTGATAATTCTGATGTGCTGGTTACAAATCTGTTTTTCTATTAGATTTTGCTTATTTGTAACAGATTAAAATGCTTTATCTGTAATTATGCAATAAATCACTTTATCAGAATCATTATTTAAATAACATGGAAGCACTTCAAAAACACATGTAATATATTGGTTATAAAACTTCATAATGACTTTTACTTTTGAAGCCTTTTTTCTGTATATCCAGTCAGTCAGCTATAATGCCAGTACTATATATAGTCCAGAGCTTTGTTTCTGTTGCACTGAAAACATAAGATGCTGGTAAAGCGTCTTACATTTTCAGATAAAACATGCTATCGACTAGTGAAGAAAAGGACCTAGTTTTTCTGCATTAATTGACCCTGTTCTAATCAACCAGTCAGAATTAAATGATCTTGTATATGATCCTGACTTATACAAAAATACAGGCTGAATTATTGGGTTCCAGATTGAAAGGATGGAATTTATTAAGCAAAGATACAAAAATGTTTTTTTATTTTATTTATTTTCTTTCTTATGAGCAGTAACATGAATTTGAAACTTCTTCCTGGCCAATTCCCTAATATACTGCTATGATGCTGACACTGTCATGAAGACATTTTAGTATTCAGTAAAATTTGAGAATGGTGAGTTTTTGTAGATTCTTCTAAGAAAAGTATGAAGGCAGCCCTGCTGCATAATGGAAACATGCATCCATCAATTCTATTGCTCACCACATCACAGAATCGTGTGGAAGCACAAAGCTTGTCCTGAGTAGCATACAATGTTATCTCCACAGATGGCATATTTGTGGTGATTTTAAAAAAGTGTTAGCTCTATTTTTGGGATTACAGCTAGACTTCAAAGTTCTGCTTTTTGTGTCTGGACCAGCAGAGATTGTAAACTGCAATTCATCAAACAACAATGACCAAAGAAAGACTGACTTACTGTTGGAGAGAAGAGCATGGTAAATGAGCCACCTCTACTCATAAAACTTGGTTTGATGAAACTGTTTGTGAAAGCCATAGAGTAATGGGCAAAGGTACTTGAAGAATAAGTTCCCTACAGTTAGTGATACTAAGAACAGGTAGGGAATATTCGTTGGTCTGCAAATACAGGAGCTAATGAAAGATTCTGAATTCAAAAAAGCTTGAATGAATCAGAGAGAGCTGTGTGGGCAGTTTCCTTAAGAAATTATGAACAATTTTCTTGATAACCATAGGGTAGATAACTATAAAGTGCTTGTTAGAGAACTCTTATAGAACTACATACAACTAGGATGTTGCATGTGTCTCAAAATTCATTGCTTGGACTCGCATCTGGATTTCTTTCACAGGAACTTAGATTGTTGTAAGTGATGAACACAGTGAAAGATTCCATCAGAAGTTAGACTATCTTCTGTTCAGCTGACTACACTGTTACCAAGGTAGATGGAGTCTAAGACTACTAGATGACTACTGCTGGACCCTGCAGACAGACGTTCTTGCAGTTAAATGCAGCAGGAAATCTACAAGGCATACATCTTGGGTAAATATGGTCATTTGTACTAGTCATGTTTTCATTACAAATGATTTTTTGTTGGCAGAAATAAATGATCATTACTTGAAAACTGAGCCCAATAAATAAAAATGGAAAGTAGATTTGAAATCATCAGAAAAGTTTTTATAAGAATCATTTTACAATTTCCTTTAACAGACATTGAGTTTCATTTTGTTCCTCAGTATAATTAAGGAATATAGAAAATTCCAACAACTAAATAAATTCTATCAGTTGCATGTGTTTTGTATTGCTTATTTTGTTATAAATTAAATGAAATAATCATTATTATTATTTAATTAAAATGAAAAATTTTCATAGTAATATATTAAAACTGTTTTGAAAACTGTTCGTTTTCAAATCTTATTTTTCTGTATTCATAATAAATTATAGAAAAATAGTTTGAACAGTATTTAAAACATAAGGAACATTTTTAATTCAATTAATAATTTATTTTAATATTATGTTTTTTATATTTTAATAGCCTAGATACATAACCGCTCTAATGAAAGCAGCCGAATTAAGGAAGAAAGAGAAGCAAAGAAGAATAGAAAAAAAAATTTACAAAGGAAGGAAAGGAAATGAATGTGAAGGTGAGGCTTTTGTGACACCATCGTATAAGAAATTTTTAGAACGAAAATGTAGGGAAAAAAATTAGAAGGTATAGTATTTATTCTAAAACCATTTAAAATTCATTTTATTTATATTTATTCATCTTTAACAAAATTTGAAATGCTATCTTATATTTAATTGTTTTAAGAAAATGAAGGTCACTTCTGTTAAGAAAATATGAATATTTCAAATGAAAATATATGAATGTTTTTTATAATTAAACTGTTTATCATCATAATGTAATAAAACAATATAATAAAAAATTTTTTCTTATGAATAAAAAGTCATAATTTTTATTGACACTAAAAGTTTTTAAGAAGCACTGTGGAATTATTTTATTATATATGTTACTGGCCAAACCCGATTTCAGGCCAAACGGGTTTATCCTACACATGTCAGGATATACTAGTTTGGTCTAAATACTTTAGGCTTAACTAGTTTGACCTGATTTAGAATTATTATTCAAGTATATTAATGGTTAAAATAAAATTAAAAGGCAATCAATTAGATGAACAATATTTATTCAAACATAGTCTACATAATTATAAAAAACTGTATTGATTAGAAGTGACACAACACTTGTACAGTACAAAACTATAAAATAAAAGTAAGCTAATCAGTACTTATCAGTTTGTATTTTTTTTTTATTAAGCTATGCACTTTGAAATATTCTCGAAAGCTTTGCGTTTAAAAAATTTAAACGAAATAATAAAAATAATTTTTAGAGTCAAACTAAAATTAAAAATTAACTTAATTGTGCTTCTTAGTGTAACATAGAAAATATTTAATGTTTTATTTATTTTTACAGGGTGTACTGTTGTGGCAATTTGAATTACACAAAATCATTTTTTTTTTTTACATTTGCACCTATTTGTAGCACAGTTTTTGGTACAGGTGCACCTCATAAAATGTTGTACTGTCCCAACTGAATGTTTGGTAGCTGCAGTCCTTAGTGAGATTTGAACATCTTGATTAACATCACTTTCTTATAGAAATTTTTGAGTACAAAGGTCGAATTCAGTTCTGTAACAAACAAATATTTTATTTTGACCAAATTATATAACATACTTAGGCTTTTTAAAAGAAACAAAATGGCATTTAACATTGTGCTTTTTTCTTCAAAGATCTTTATCAGGCCATCATTATAAGTAAATATTATACAAAAACCCTATCTGAAAAAATTCATAAAACTTGAAAATCTCTTCCAAATATAAAAACAATAATCATCGAAATCAGTTTGGCTTAGGTCAGACTAGTTATGCCTAAAGTATTTAGGCCAAACTAGATTGTCCTGGGCTAAACTAGTATATCCTTACATGCATAGGATAAACCCATTTGGCCTAGGACAAACTAGTTTGGCCAGTAACATATATATTATTATATAGATAGAAGTAAGTTTCATTTTCTTAGAAGCATACTGGATATTATAATTTCTAAGTTTATTATATACATAGAAGTCATAATTAAAATATCTATAAAACCATCTACAAATATACAGTGGTACTTCAGGATACAAACACCCCAGCAAGTTTGTATATTTTTTTATTAAGTAATTTTTATCATCACCAATCCAGAATAAACTCATTAAAACAAAAATAAGCAACTGAACCATATTTTTTAAATGCAATAATTAGTTTAAGTTAATTTTTAAGACTAAAAGACAATTACCTAATTCTTTCATTTTCCTATACAATAGAATATCAGTGCTGATCAAAATATATTAAACCAAATGCAAAGTACTAAATTATTAAAATTTATATTTAATTACTAATTCAGAAAAAAATTTAAATGAATTAATAAATGTAAATAAATTAATTTTTAGAAAACTGATAAATTACAAAAAGAAGAATGTAAAAAAGTTCAGTAGTACCTCAGGATACGAACGTCCCAGCATACAAAATTTTCAGGATACGACATGAAATTCGAACATATTTTTGCTCCACGATACGAACAAAAACTCACCATACAACGTTACATTAGTTTGCAGCGCCATTTTTTATTCACTTCTGTTCATCGGTCTCAGTCCGTGTGTTTTCTNTATATATAAAACAACACTAATTTTTTATATTTTTGCTAAGTTATTGTTACATTATGTTATGTAAGTAAACTTTTAGTATCATTTCCCTTCTCCCTCTCTTCCGCCGCCAGTTTATACCTCCGCCGTCGTCTATCCTCAAAGGTAAAGTGCAAAACAACACTAATTTTTTATATTTTTGCTAAGTTATTGTTACATTATGTTATGTAAGTTAACTTTTAGTATCATTTCCCTTCTCCCTCTCTTCCGCCGCCAGTTTATACCTCCGCCGTCGTCTATCCTCAAAGGTAAAGTGCAAATAAAACTAATTTTTTTTAATCAATTATTATTCTATTATGTTTATTTATACATTTACAACTACAGAATTCATTTTCCAGTATTTTCCTTACTACAGTTATTATTTTTTTTTAACATACTACTTAGTTTTAATTTGAGTGTTTTTTTTCNAATTATTTTTCTATTATGTTTATTTATACATTTACAACTACAGAATTCATTTTCCAGTATTTTCCTTACTACAGTTATTATTTTTTTTTAACATACTACTTAGTTTTAATTTGAGTGTTTTTTTTCATGTTGGAACGAATTACTTGGTTTTACATGTAATCGTATGTGGAAAAATGATTCACCTTACGACATTTTCATGATACGATCTCAGTTTCGGAACGGATTAATTTCGTATCCTGAAGTACCACTGTACAGTATTTAGCAATTGAAACTCATCCAAACATAGTAGGAATACTTTTTGATATATGTGGAAGTGATTTCTTGGAAAAAAAATTATTTCAAAGGATTATCACCAAACAGATATTTGTCATTGCAGACAGAGATAAAGCATAATATTGCATGTAGTACAGTTTGTTCAGATCACTAATGAATATAAAAGAAAAAACAAAACATTCTTGCAATACTTGCACATAATGGAAGTTGCAATGGTTATTATTTTACTTCAATATGCTTATGAAGCTATATTATCAAAATTACAGTAATATTCTATTTTGGAAATTCTGACAATATAAGTAATTGTGAGAGATCTAACTACACCATATACCTTCAGAAGAATGGCTATTCAATTTGCTAAAACTGGATATCTAAATTTCCAGTTCCTCAAATCCATTTGTATTCTCTTCCTGGTCTTACTCTTAAAATTTGTCAACAAGTGAAATGTTTCCTCTGCTGTTGCAGATCAATCACTGAGTGAATAATGCAACAGGTTCAGTGCAAGTACTGTAAAATAGTTGTATGTGCTCTACATCAGATGTTTCACAAGCTGGGGGTAATTGCGACTTCAGTTGGCACTATTTCTAAACATTTAAATATTAAATAATTTTTAATGCATTTAATACATTACAATAACTAAAGCATCACAATATAGTAAAAAATCTGTTTATGAAAAGTCATCATTTTCCTTAAAATTGAAATATTTAAGAAGTCCTAATGAATTGTTTTATTACTGTCATTTGTGATTATGGAATGTTTTTGTTGGTCATTTCAATTGCTAATAATTATAAAATTAATCAATTGATATAAAATGTGTATGTGAGTATAAATATGTTACTTATTTACATTTTTAACAACCAGCTTAGGTTAATTAATTTTTAAAATGTTTTATTGTGTAGTCTTATATATATTAATATAAACCAATTATGAATATAAATTCAGGGGACTGTGAAAGTGCTAAATTAGATTTAGTGAGCCTTGTCACTAAAAAAGTGAGTAGCTCTGTTTCACCGATACTTTGCAACCTTTTGTCATGTACAGCACACCTAGGTATTTCCCAGAAATCTGTGGGATACTACAAGTAAAAATATACAAAACTGTAGGAATTATATACAAATGACTCACTAGATTAAATATTTTTACTAAATAATCAAAGGTTAAAACCTTTGATTATTTAGTAAAAATATTTGGTACAATTTGGACATTTAGATTGAGTGTAGTCTATATATTTATCATTTATTATTATTCTATTTTTATTTAGCCTAATTTGTATAAAAAACTTTTTGATATTAATGGCTAGATTTGTCAATATATAGTTATTATTAACTGGGTAATTTAAAATTGTTGCATACCAGCTTGTATTTTCCCATTTTCGTATGTCTTCAGTGTCTTGAACGATGGAGAGCTCCATAGCTCTGTATATTATTTCTTTACTATACTGCTCCATATCATGTGTACGATCCAGAAACAATTTAATAGAGAATCCATATTTATTTACTATCTTTGATAACTGTATTATCCAACTTCGTCTTAAATCCGCTTCGCTTGATTTGCGATATAGTAAAAACAGCAATTTTGTTGTTATGTCTTCTGCCTTTATAATTTTTTGTAGAAACATTAAATATCTTTTTATTAATATAGTATTTAGTCTAAATCTATTTGTTTCTATTCTTAAGACACTGCCCGGGATATTAAATTCTAATTGGAATATCTTGCGTATAAATATATTCTGTATTTTTTCAAAGTCATTAAATTTGTCCATACTCCAAATTGGGGCAGCATAGCTCATTGAATTCATCACAAGCGAATTAAAAAGTTGAAAGTGTGTTCTTAAGTTCTTTAGTTTTTTTCTTTAGTAAAAATATTTAATCTAGATAACAATGTTTATGACCTTAAAATTCAGTCTTCATCAGGTTTATAAATACTGAGATTTTAAGAACAGTTTCACAGTATGATTTAAACATTTAGAATGTTTTGAATCGTTCGTATACTGTTGTGGGCATTTGTTGCTATGGATTCGTATGTATTGCTGCCATAGGTATCACACAAAACTACAAACGAAAATAAATATGCATTATAAAGACAAATAATCTAACAGATGTGTACGTAAGTTAAACCAAGCTGTGGGGTTGTCGTCACCCTCGTAACAGAACTTTCATGTTTGAGATATATTAATAGCATCCTTGGAATTGATGCAGTTAGCATGTAATCTGGCTTTATATATTT